TTTACTTCTTTGTAAAGAAGTTTATACATTTTATAAAACACAAACGTTTGATGACTTTAGATGTTATGCACCATACGATAACTGAAATGAGTGCTATGTTTGTGGCGCAGCGTATATTACATGTAATTAGGGTTCCTATCGCTATGAATTATACGATAGTTGTGCGCCTAAACCGGGTGATGCTTAGAATTGAAAAAACTGTATGGTCCCAAACTATAACCTAAATCGTGTGCCAAATAGTTTTTACTATTACACCCATTTTTACAAATTAGAGATCAGCATATACGTAAGAATCAGACAAAAATACAGTTTTTTTAGTTTAAGAAAGCCACAGGTTTAGGATAGACATTTATTAGGTGATTTTTTGTAGATAATAAAGCTAGTCTCCTCTCCCTCCTACTTGATATATAATATTACAGGGGATTACTTTATTTACAAGAAAAAAATGCTACCAGAGCAACAATTGATACAAATAAGAAAATATATATCATAGTTTTATGACCCGCGATTAACCTTGGTTAACAATTTTGAACTAATGTTATATTCCGCAATTTCCTTTCTGGTGCGTCCAGGAGATCTTCGTGTGATGGTTGAATGCTCTCACTTGTGGTATCCACATCTTTAAATTTGACCACGTGTTCACACGAGATAATACCGATTCGGCGGGTATTTTCGACTACAGCAACATCAAGAGTTCCGATCATGTTCCGAGATCCAGTTAACCCTACGCCTATACTGGCCCCCCAATTTTACATTTATTGACAATATTCCTCTCCGTAACGGCTACATGGCGTTACAACATATGCTTCGACAACATCTGTCAGAAACCCGCGAATCATCTTGGGGAATGGGCCACCGCATCCACAGCGAAGGATGCCTTTCTGGCGGACGTATAGTATGATTGCAGGCGTGTCAGTAAACTTGGAGTCAGTTCGTTTGTACCCGGTGGTCGTGCCGACCAAATTGTTCTGCAGATCTTGCGGAACCTTTTTCCAGGCTGGCAGTTGATCATCAGGACTTTGTGGGTGAATTTCGGCGCTAACAAATCCTGCGATTTCTGATATGAAATAAATTACTTCGTCTTTTGCGACCTTCTCCGTCTTTTCGAACGGGTCGCGAGTAACCACATACACATGCCACCTTTTGTTCCCTGCGAGATGTTCCGTAATGCGTCGACCCCAAAAGACATCCACAATGTTATCATACGCATATAGTTGGCGGAGGCGAGTCTCTAACGCATCGCTCCAGTAAATATTGTCGGATTTTATGTTTTTCCTTGACTTAACAAAATTCAATTCGAGGTGATTTGAGTTTTTGGCTACTTCAGTGAACAACAAAACATGGCCAATGGAAAAGTTTATTAAGTGCTTAGAAAAATCGGCTCGGGAATTTTTTTACTTGTTACACTTTCACACAGCCAATTTTTGTCACACAAATATACTGACTTTTCTTGTTAATTTTAGGTAATGACATAGCTAGTTCGAGGGTTCAAGGATGCTGTTAAGGAAAAAAACGCCCAACAGATTTCCCATACCTAAGTTACATATATAAACTGTCATAATGGATACATCTGTGATTACGCTATATCAGCGGATGACGTCTGTTAGGTTATCAATTTATCGTAATTCGCCGCATAAATCACCCAAAAAGAGGGATTGCACCATCTGTTAACTGAATCTTCCCTGGGGATGATACTCTGAACTTTTGTGATTGATATTCTATATCCCTCCATTCTTCGTTGGGGTCTTGTTCTATGTAATCTTCATAATATCCAACACCAGCCACAGCAGTATTTTGCTTTACTGGCGGAGCCTTGTAAACTTCTTTTTAGCTTTTTGGAATTCTCATAGAATATTTTTTAAGACTTCTCAACATTTCGAAATATTAGTTACTGTATTATCCGCGTGAGAAATGGAATCCCAAATCTGAACAACATTGTCGTCCAATGCCTTTTGTATTATTCTTTGAGATCTCAGCGTTCTCTTTCGAAGTTATTCATTCCAAATTAACAGCTCGATTATCTTGTCTGATTCCATTAATGTGGTTAACGAAAGGCTTATTTTCTGAGTTAGGAATAAATGCTCGTGCTACAAAATATGAACCCTCGTACGTATACGAACACCATTAATACACACCCCTACAGTATATTACTGGAAATTTCAAAATGAATCTGTCACTTTGGAACCCGATATCTCAACATCCAGTGATCTCATTTGAACAAAGAGGATCACTGGATGTTGAGATATCGGGTTCAAAAGTGACAGATTCATTTTTGAAATTCTGGTAATATACTGTAGGGGTGGTATTAATTCCTATTTGTATATAACTACTTTTATTAGGGTTTAGGCTTAAAATAAAACCTAATTAATCTGAATCTGCTATGGCAACCCATCTAACATCTGTTATTTATCGCGAAACATCTTTAAATCCGCGTAGTCGGACGATTAAAAAATTTATTTATTTTCAGAATTTTAATAAGATTTCGATCATTTTAAAGGACGATTCGATGGAATTCCATTTGCACCAATATTAAACTTCAAAGCACAATCTTCAAATAATGGTATAATAAATCATAGATCTGTCCGATGTATTATAATTTCATTAATTGAGCGAGCACCTTTTTGCTATACGTACAGAAATAAATAAATTATTTCACTCCAAATTCAATAAATGTTTAAAATGACATAATTATCTCTTACATTTTGTGCATTAGTACACATGCCAATATATATTTAGCTTCCTATTTCTGGTGTTGATATTACACCGTAAACTGCCGTGAATAAGCACCACCCTATTTCTTCCACTTGACTCTATTATGTGTACTCTCGTGACAGAACCTAAAGTTATATTAAAACGGTAACAATATCTTTTATATTTCATACTATTATATTTTATATTATTTATATTTCATATTATTCATTTTTAATTCATACTATTTGTTTTTAGTTTATAATATTTTCATATTATTTAATCCAAAAATAGTAAAACAATGAACAACAGTGAATATGCACCACTAAATTTAAATTGCAAAAATATCTAAAATCGCTTTTGAAGAAATTACAAGTACGTACATGTACCATCCCGTTTTTTAGAACCCAAAAAGTGGTGCTTTTCACGGTAGATGACCGTAGACATGCATTATCAAAAGAATCTATTAAGAAGTTAAAATTTTTTATATTTCAATTTGTAAGTTTAACGTAAACTTTTTTTAATAAAACTTTATATGTTAATACATGTATATTATGTTCGATTTCTACCAATGACTTGCAGAAGCGATATCGCGTCTGAAGTCACCGGAGTTTTAAAAGTATTTATATCACACATGTACATGTACATGTATCTGCAGAATTACTGTGCAAAACGAGTACATACTAGTTACGACATACGTATGTTGTTACTCTGTGGGTCATATATCTGCACCCCTAGTGTTGACTGTCTTGACGTTAAATGCTATCGCTATCTATTCTTAACGTTAAGATTATTGCTGTATCTGATCTGGATTTCTCGAATCGTCCATATTCAAAGGAATTTGTATATTTTTCATCGTCCATTTTCATAAAATCTTTAGGTGACATAATAGAAATGAGCTTAGCCAAAACCTTTTTAGTTTATAAAAGATCTAATATTAAAGTCACTTCATAGTCGCTTGTTTGCTGTGATTCAAACCGAATTTCAATTCAAACTTGTAGATCAATCTTGTGAATCTGGCTCGGCAAATTCATTTTGATACATTCAAAGCCCCTTGAGCTGAGAAATATCTTTTAGAATGTCTTTAATATTATAGTCCAAACTCTGAAAATTCAGATCTTTTAATGAGCTTACTGAGACTTCCGAAATAAAACGCAACACCACAAATCCTTCGGTATTATACAACAGAATTATAATTTCTTTTTCTAATATATCGAAAATCATCAAATTTACAACCAAACCTATTTCTACTTCGTGAAAAAATAGGTACTACATGTTATCATCATCAAATTTCTTAAGTACGAAATCTAATCCTTAAGTTGAAAAAGAAACCTGTATTTTTTAAGATTGGCGATTAGCACATTTTGTGTTGGGAATATACGTGTATCGGTATTAATCCGAGTCTTAGCATGTACGTTCGAGTATATATGCATAACGATAGGTGATACAGTTGTTTTTGTATTCATTATAAATACAATTCTCTTTGTTTTATTAAGCAGATCTCTTCTGGTCTTTATGTAAAACAACTCGTTTCTCAATTGACTTTCAATTACTCTAGCACATAAATCATTTCCTCTTAACAAATATTTGTAAGATGTCATTTTTCAATGACTATGGTAAATGTCCAACATGTGAAAAGGAGCGTGTCAGTAAATTTTGGTGTAAAGAATGCGAATCTGAATTATTTATGAAAAATTTTATTCATTGGTCAAGCGGAAATGAAAAGATTGATAGCCTAATACGAGAAACGCAATCGAATGCTGCTACAAATTGTAATTATTTGGAATGGATCCCGTACGACCAATTTAATGATGTGAAACTGGTGGCAAAAGGTGGATTTGGGGTCGTGTAAGTTCAATTTATTATTAAAGCTTATAATTATTCAAGCTTTATTGATAAGGTTGCTTAACAGGTATTCGGCTATTTGGTTATGTGGACCAAGACGTACAGAAGACGAAGCTACTCAACGATATAAAAGGAGTGGCGAAACCGAAGTAGCGCTAAAAAGATTAAATAATTCAAAAAATATCAGTGATGAATTTTTTACAGAGGTATTTTAATTAACGAATTCAATTTTTTCTTTGGTGTCTTTTTAATACTTTTTGACAAGAGAATTTTTTAGTTAAGAACTTATTTCACATTTACTGGAAAAACAACTATGTCAAATCATGGCTGGCACGATTATTCGCGTGTTTTACAAAGCTATGGCATCACTAAAGAAAACACTAGCGATGATTATATGTAAATATCGAAATTTACCTATCATCATTAACGTTAATATTAATTAATTCACAATAGACTTCTTAATTTAAGGATAGTCATGGAATTCGCCAGTGACGGCGATATAAGAAAATATATACACAATAATTTTAATAATTTATCTTGGCGCAAGCGAATAGAATATCTCGAAGAAATCGCTCATGGGCTTGCCAATCTCCACGAAGATAATATTGTACATGGTGATTTCCATTCTGGGAATATTCTTTGTATACGAAATGATATTATTTGTATAGCAATCGGTGATATGGGACTGGCTAAAAAAGCTAATTCGACATCGAAAAAAAAGGGAGTGTTTGGCGTTATGTCTTATCTACCTCCGGAAGTTCATCGTGGTGAAGAATATACAACAAAGGCGGATATCTATAGTTTTGGGATGATAATGTGGGAATTTGCTTCTGGACGCGTGCCATTTGCCGCTGTAAAACATGATCTACATTTGCAACTCGAAATTTGTGATGGAAAAAGACCTGAAAAGATCGACGGAACTCCTGTTTTCTATCAACAGTTGATGGAAAGCTGTTGGGAACAAGATCTGAAAATTCGTCCAACAGCAAAAGAATTAAGAGAGAATATTAAAAGTTGGTTAACCACGAGCGAATTTACAAAAGAAATTTGGGACGCTGAAGTCAAGCGACAGGAAAAACTTGCTAGTAATCCAGGTAATCGATAATTATTTTATTCAATATACATTTACAAAGAACGAAGTAGGTTTAACAAAATTCTTTTTATATTAGATCGAAATAGTTCGATAATAGGTTCTATTGATTCTACTGAACTAACTCATATATTATCTGACAAAATCTCGAGTAAGAAAAGCTTAATATAAATTACGTGAATTATCCGGTTAATATGCATTAACATTTTTTACCTCAGATGCAACAGAATCTAGACAATGTAGTAGTCTAATAGACACTAAAGCTTATCTGACGACTATAACCGACGGTATAAACTATTTTATTTGAGTTCTGTAAACATGTACATGTATTTTGATTTTTAACTAATTTTTATGTAAAGTAGATCTAAATGATATTGCTTTATCAAGCAACAGCAACACAGGTATGTTTTTCATCTAGTATTTTAGCATTTATCTTTTACGATAAAGGTTAAAGTTATGTATACATAGATACACATATCTCGGGTGCAGTGAGGATTTTAAAGAAACAAAAAAATGCCTATCCCGCGCTCGTATCGAGTAATTCCATTTAACCATTCTCAATTTCGAAGATACTTAACTAGAGTATAGGAATTGTAAGCAATCTTTTATTTTATTTTGGTGACATATACACGTGTCATAAAGTATTCTACGAGGTTTTTTAATATTAAAAACATAAAGTAGTTGGTAAAGTATATATGCTTAATCTGATAAAACATGTTAAAAATTATATTTTAAAACATCCGTTTATCAAGTCTGCCGTAATGTGGAGCATAACGATAATGCTGGTCAAATTGTCAAAATTTCATATTATTATGATTGTAATTTTTTAAAGTAAAACCATTTTCAATAATTGAAATTTACGGGATTTTGAATATAAAGTAAATAGTTCCAAGAGTGCTAAAAAAAACTTATTTGGTGATTCTTTTATAAAGAATAGTCTAATACATGTACAAAATTATTTGTAATTAATAATTTTAAAATAAACAATATCGATACGTATAGTGGCTCACACATGTAACCGAACACGAAAATTAACTTTCTAGCATTTTTATTTCCATGACTATTAGTTTGGACAAA